GTGGGCCCAATCTGTCCACCAGACTGCCAATCTGAATTCAAATAGAGAGTAAAGATTTTACTACCCCGTAAAAATATGTACAAATTGACAAAGTCCGTCATGATAATTTTGATGAATTAAGATGTATTAATCTGTCATCATTAATTTTGATAAATTCCGATTCGGGAATTATTAGAAATCTTCCTAACGTGTACATATAGTGGTGACCCGACGTCCCGAAAGGGTATCACCATTAAGTTGTCATATTGCTTCCCTGAGCTAGACAGCGTGCTACCAAAAGGTATGCTTGATGATGTCATGGATGAAAAGGAACGGGGAATTTTATTTTCTCTCTTGAAAAAATCCTCATACAAACTGATTATGATCTATAAACAATTTAATTTAATTAATAATTTTAATATCAATGTATTACAAAATCCAAAATAATTATTTATATTACCATAAAATTTTCAAAATTCCCCCATCTATTATAATCTCATGAGAGTATATCAAGTGGAATGATAATTTTCAAATTTTGATTCCTACAAATTTAATTCTTCACACATCCATTAAATGAGGACATTCAAAAATTTTTGGAGAATTTATGTCCTAAGTAAAAGTGTATTACCTAGGGATGCTATAATTGTTTTTTATGTGCTTCATAGTGTTAATATCACATTTATCAAAAAGCAGTGTTTATATTGGGTAGTACTATTTAAATGGTTATAGAACCAATGTGACCGATTTTGGGAAATTTATAGTTGAAGGGTAGGAGGAATGCAATATGGAAACTAAAATTACTATGATGGCTGTGATTATTTTAGCTCCAATTAAATTTAATTGCAGCTTAATTTAATTTCAAAAAAAAAAAATAGACACTTCTGTAAATAGTAGGGTAACTTTGTGTTATGTTTGAATTTTAGAACGATTGGGCCGGAAATGTATATTTAATGTTACAATAGTAGAACTTTTAGGCTTTTTTGTATTAATGATGAGTTTATTTTTCAATGATACTCGACTAAAATTGGCAATTTGGTAAAGTCAATTAAGGCTTTGAATATCAAAGTTACCTATCAATAACCATAAATTTCTATAGATTTACATTTAATTTCGGTTTACGGTTCCAATTCTCCAATCAGGGATGCTGATTATGCATTATCCCATAATGCAATTTCAATTTCTGTTTAAGGATACTATTGAAAATTTGTAAATCTTAAGAAATTGAGAACAACTTTCCCAGTTCTGC